CCTGCTGATAAAACCATTGTGCTTACACACAGCCAAGAGGATATGGAAATAACTGCATCTCATACCATTGCTCTTAATAACAATATTAAAGAATTTGAGAAAGAAGAAGTGTCACATAAAAGCAATCAGCAACCACACTTGCATAGTGCATTGTCAGCTTCTTGCAGAGATGAAATGTATTCTCCTTGTACAAAAGACCTGAGTGGTGAATATCATATCAAATCTAAGGATAAGCCTGACTGTTCTGCTTCATCAGTCTCAGTATTTCCTAGTGAAAAAGACACTATTAAAGGCCACAGTGGTGCAATACCAGATTCTGTTTATACTGTCTCACTTCCAGAAGACAATTTGGATGTCCACGCACCACAAAATCTTGGCCTTCCCATGGATAATTCTGTTTCTGTAAATGATCAAGACCTGGTACATCTAGGAAAACTGAAATCAAAGAGAGTGTCTTTCAAGCTTCCAGATAATGGTCTCGGGGACTGCAGTGAAGGAAGTGAAGATCAAGAGCTGGTATCTCATGTTTCACTTCCCATTCAGCAGTCAAATTCTTTACAGAGTGCTCCTGATGCACTTAGTTCTCAAGGAAACAGAGTCTTGAAAGATGATTCATCTAAACTTGAATATCTAGCTGCAGATTTAGCAATGGATAGATCCAGACTTGTTCCAGTTTCTAAAAATAAATCAAATGAAAATGAGGAGCTATCCCCTGAAGGGGAGAAACTTCCAAAAGATTTCCAAAGAAACTCTGAACAAACCAGACAATTTTTGGTCAGTGACATTCCAAGAGATCAAATAGATCCCACTCTTGCACCTGAATTATCAGGTATTTTAAATGTTTGTTCGAAGCTGAAAAACATCAGAAGGAAATCTGCAGGTGTCTCTGTTTCTGAAACTACACCTGTTGACCACTTGTCTAAACTATCAGCTCAGCCAGAGGATGCTTTGAGGTTAGGAAAAACTGCTGCTAAAGATCAGAACGCATGTCTTGAATCTGAAGTTGTTCCCATAGATGCAAACTTAGGTAGGGCATTAAAGGATAAATATCAAGGAATAAATGTCCCTCTAGGTATCTTTCTGCCTAAATTACCAAACAGAAGAAATCCTTCTGTTTCTAGTGTGCAAGACATAAATGCAAAATCTTTAGGTAAAGTAGAAGCACCAGTTTCAGAAGTAAGCCCAGACACTGGGGAAACCCCAGGTGACAACAATTCTAGTAGGCAGAACCTAAGCCTTTCTCAGTACATAGCAGAAGAATTTCTTCCTGTCTGCCCAGAAGAAATGGATTCAAATGAATCTGTAAGTTCTGAACTGGAAGGAGACTGCAATGAGGTGAACAAAAAAGAAATCTCTCACAATGAAAGGAATCAATCTGAAAAGACAAAAGCTTGTAACAGCCCGAAAAGAGCTTTGGAACAAGATGAAAAGGATCTTCCACAGCTGAAGAAGCTCAAAAGGGATGAATGTTTGGATGGTGAGGCCTGCCAAGATTTGCAGGTGAGCTAATCACTTATTATCGGGATGTAGTGAACACTAATAGGACTTCTGTTTAAATTTTGGGGTGCATACAGATATATTGGTAGATTGTCTTGTTTATCTTAACCATCTGTTTTTTATGTCTGCCTCAATATTTCTCTCATTTTGCCATCATGAAATAAAAGAACTACATTGATGCGTGGAACTTTCCTGAACCATTAAAAACAGACAGAGTAAGGGATATATCAATTTTATGTTATTCTCTCCATAGTACCCTGTTAATCTTTTCAGGAATAAATACTCGCAGTCCTCTGAACTGAACTGTTTGCTAGTTGTTCCTTAGGTAGGAAGACAGAGTACAGCCTAAAACAATTATTTAAAATCAAAATATGGACATTTAGTCTAACTTTACTAGATTTATTGTAGACAGCACAAATAGCTGTCGGAACAAGAAAATCTGTGCAAATGTGAACAATTAATCTAACTTTAAAAATAATTTTCATCATAATCAGTAGAAACTTTCTAGTTCCAAAAGCTGGGGAAAAGTGCTGAGATGGCTACTACTCTGACTGAGAAACGAATGAAAGATTTTGGAGCTTCACGTCCTATAAGCCAGGCTAGGAAATGGCTTGAGTAGCCATATACTGGTTTGTCATGCTGATTGGAATGTTAAATGCTAAAAATGGAACAATTGAAACAAAATATGAAACAAGCAGCTACTGTTTATATAGCTGGTTACAAATACTATTCTTGTATTTTTTCATATAACTATGCTAATTTATTTTTGTTTTCTTTTTTCTTTTTAACTTACTTAATTTTAGGTTACCTTTGGCACTGTCTCTCAAAGCCAGGTAGAAATTCATGAAGGTGAAGATCCTCCAAATCAGTCATCTAAAAGCCCTGATTGTACTCAGGCCAACACCAGCAGCTCTCTGGATTCTGTTAAGGCTGACACAGAATTAACTAGTAAGACTTTATTCATAGTAATTATCTCAAAACTCCTTAGTTCTTTTGGCTTAATGAAGTCAGAGCATCTTTGTAGCATGTATTTCATCTTGGAAAGTTAACATCGTTGTGTTATTGGGGATTTTTTTTTTGGTCAGCTGAAGGACTTAAATGTATGTGTTATGGCTTCCTGCCCAGCTGGTTACGTTCTGGCTGTCCAAGAAGCCAAGCCATTCTAGGAAACCTGAGATGGGGAGAAAGAGAGTGGCAGAACCAAAGAGCAGCTGTGTTTCCAAGGAGGGAGGATGGGCTGGAGACGCAGTTTACGTACTTTAGCACAGTTCAAAGCCCCTGCTCAAACCCTGCTTGACTGTCTTAGGCTGGTTCTATGCAGAATCAATCTGCATGTCTCAGCACTGCACTCTTGGAAAGAGAGTCCTCTGAGTGCACTGCAGGGGCATCCACCTCGCTTTAAATGGAATTGGCCTGCATGTTTTAGTTCTTGCCAATTAGTTGATACCTCACAATGAGGCACAATTCTGCCACTCACCTGATCAATGATGTCTTACCTTCCTTTTACAAAACAATTTCCAATTTTGCCCCTGCAGCCATGAAAATGTCTACCTTATCCAGTAGAAGCTGGACTTTTTCCTTTTAGTGAGAAACTAGCTCTTGCTGGTTCAGAACTTGAAAGCAATGTTTTTACCTTGAAAGCTTCTGGCAGCTCAGGTGCTGTTTGGTCTCTATCTACTTAAGAGGCCCTACATGAATTAATTGGAGTCTGTTTCTCAGACAGAGACAAAACAATTTATTATTGTTTAGTTCGTTAGTCATGGTTTTCACCCTTAGAAAAGTGAACTCTTATTTCATTACTAATCTGAGACAATTTATATTCCAGCATTACGTTTTTGATCTAATCCTCTTTATTTGTCAACTGAATCCCGAGTAGTTGTTTCCTCAGTAACTTCATTCAGCACTGGAGGCATACATAAAGGTCAAATGCTACATTAAAATTGCTTTTTTTTTCCCCTGAGCTAATGACTTTATGTTCATATTTCCATATACATATTTATAACTACAGCAATCTCCTTTTTGTCTAGTTCAGCGAAGCAGTCACATGGAGTCTCAGCTTCTCACAGATAGCATTTGTGAAGATAATTTATGGGAGGTATGTAAATAGCTGAGAGATACCAACTTCTTTTCATAACAGGAATAATATCTGTGTGTGTGTATGCAAGTAAGCATTCTTATTTAAAGAATGTATTTATCTTTATGTTTGTACTGACCTTTGCAGAAATTTCAGAATGGTGTTATCACAGTTGGGGAGTTTTTTACGCTTCTCCAAGTCCATATTCCAATTCAGAAGCCCCGGCAGAGCCATCTTCCAGCCAATGTGAGTATCTGTCCTCTCAAATGCATAGTATCATTGACCTTAAATTGTATTCCTCTTTGTCTTGTTTTGGTTTTTAACTGATCTGGATTAAAGGCCATTAAATGAGTCAAGACAGAAGTCAGTTCCACCTTAGCAAACCTGTTAAACAAACAGATGCTTCCTCTTTTCTCTTTGCTGTTCACCTCTGATTAAGTCTAATGGGATTTTTATCTCGTTATTGAAAAGTAGAACAGATTTCAATCTCTTTATGAAGTACTTCATATTTGCCCTATTCTTTGATCAGTATATAAGTCTGCATGAGGCAGTAATCTTACTTACTGTACAGTCACCCTGAAAACAGGGCAAGGGGTAACTATGAAATGAAGGTTGGGATTTTCTTGAGAGGCAATTTTGGGACAGGGGGATGCCCTTTATTCATCCATCTCATGCAACTTAATTCTGAACTTAATTCTGAAAGCAGGATTTCTTGCTGTAAACCTTAAATCTTAAGACTATCTTTAACCCTTCACCCATAGCTTAACCCATTCTTATTCTGTAAATGGAACGTAAGGTTGATATTCAGGTTGTTCTTGTTAAAACAGTAACTTTGAGTTCTGCTCTTCACAGTATAACAGCATATGTATAACAGCAAACACCAGAAGAAGTTTGTTTTCCTTTTTGCCTTAGCAATTCTGGTACTTTTTACCACATTTTCCTCTGATATCTCTTTTGGTCCTTGGTTTCTGAAAGTATTTTGATATTTATGGAAAAACCTTACTTATCTTTAGTTGTAACATGGTTTTGTTCGTTTAGTATCTGAATTGCTTCAGTCTGCACACAATTATGAGGACCCTTTCTTCCAGCTAAGTTTACTCTATACCTAGAATTAAGTTCTCCTGTTTTGGGAGGGGAGGAGGAAGAAAAGCGTCAGGAAAAACTGTCCTAATCGAAAGAACCGTGCTTAATTTCAGAGTGTTTCAACTTTCCAGTATTTCATCCAGCAACTCCAGTTAAGACTGTTTCCTTATTACAGTGTCTGTTTCAGGCTTCCAGCAGTACAGTAGAGGAATCTTCAAGGACAGTCAGCTTTGCTATGCAAATCTTTAAACAAGTTACTGAAGTTTGTTTGTTCTCTCTCATTCTCTCTCTCTCTCTCTCTCTCTCTCTCTCTCCCCCCTCTTTTTTTTTTTTTTTTAAATTTTTTTAATCTCTCCTTGGCTTTGGATAAGCACTATAATCTATATGTTGTACTGCAAATCTGAAAGTATTCGAAGTATGAATTTTTGCACAAACTTGAGTTGTAACTCTTTACTTTCAAAAATTGGTAAAAGACGTTCTCTGATTTTTTTTCCTCTAACTTGAGAAGAAAACTGCCCTAGTACAGTATTTTAATAGCATATGTGTTTCCAATCAGTTTGATTTTTTACATTTTACAGTTTTATGCCAGTACTTGGTTTCAGTAAAGGTACCTTAAGCTCTTGGAAGACTAGCATTTCAGACTTATTTGTACACATTTATGTAGCAAACTGAATTTCTAACTGGATGCTGGAATTATTCTCTCTAATCTACCCAGATTTCACAAACAAGTACCACTCCTTAAAAGATTATGTAATAAAGTGCTGTGAATTAGCTGTTTAGTTTTCCACACGCAGGTGTTATGCTGACATGGAAAAATTTCAAGTTTTACAGAGAGAAAATGTTTGATTTGTAAAACAGCAATGCGTAGCATTTATTTAGCAAAGTATATGGGGAATTAGCGCAAATATTTCCATTTCCTGCAACTTAGTACAATTTCTGCTGTCACGGTAAACAGTGTGCCAGGGACTTTAGAGTAGCTATCCTGGAAAGTGGAAAAAACTAAGCAGATTCTGCATAATTGAGAAGTAGCAGATTCTTCAATGCCAATACTTATTCTACAGTACTGGAAAACTTTCCAGTACTGTGTTCAATGTTAAATAGGTCCTAATGATATTCGTTCTTCCTTCTCTAAAAGGAATGAATGCGTGGTGTGACCTTTCTTTTGACAGGGATTTTCAGTATGTCTGTATGTTACAAATGTAATAGTGAAATAGTTCACTATAGTTCACTATAATAGTTCATTTCCTTCATTGCTAACTGAAGAAAATACCTGTGAGTCAACTTAGCAAGACCAAGGAGATCAAAAGAGTTCTTAAATTATGGATCAAACTGTGATTAATGGTGAACATGCCTCCAAAGAAAGCTATGCTCATTACACGGTGGTTGTGAGGTCTTTAGGGTATGGTCCTCTGTCTTCTCAGGAAAAGCATTATTTGTTCCGTGTCAAGGTTTAAAGAGAAAGGTTGAAAAGCTGAGGGGAGAAAGGAACTGTGAGGATCACGTAAGAGTTGAGTCTCTTCATGTAAAAAGTCTGTCAATTTTTAAGTTCTTTAAAATTCTGATATAGAAGAATAAACTGATAAAAAGATAGCTAAATGAATACAAATTGTATTGATTAAATTGCTTTCCTTTTGGTTTTTAAATCTCTTGGGTAGCTCTTTAAATGAAAATATCTTACAGTTTAGATTAGATTAGGCAAATGTATTTATACTGAGCTGTGTCTAAATATTGAGCAAGCCTTCAAAAACTCAGATGCCATTCGATAGTGTCTGATCACTGATAAGAAAACTGAAAGCTTTCTCTGAAGGGATGAAATTAGCATAAATAATCTATGTGCTTAAATACGTGGGTAACTATCAGAAATACTCCCATCCTATTTATTGGCTCTGCCTAAGACTTGTTGAAAATTGGGAGCTCAGATTCTGAATCAAGTATAGTTATCTTGTTTTATTCTAGAGCATTCTTGTTAGCTGGATAATGTACACCTATTTCTTAGGTCTTCATTTAAGGAAGTTGATCACTCTCAATTTAGTTTTTTGAGGAACAGCGATGAGGCATATGTCCCAACACGAAGTCCATATTTAAACGTGAGGAAATACGAGGCATAAAAGTGAAATGAATTATTTAAGGCTGTGTTATTAACGCAGCTCAGAATGAAACAAGACAAGTCCACAATGAAGAAAATGGTTTTAGTAGGTCAGGCTGCCTCCATTAGTTTTTTTCTGTTCTGCAAAATAAATATTCCAAGTCTCTTGCTGGCTTCTGTATATGAATTGATTGGAGGCTAGTGTTTCTGAAAAGAATGCATCTTTTATTCTTTTCCTCCAAAATTTTATCCCTCTTTGTTTTCCCCCAGTATGCAATGAGCACACCACCTACTCCAGAAGACTTGATTTTCAGCCAATATGTGTATCGCCCCAAGCTGCGTATTTATGAAGAAGATTGCCAGGTCCTTTCTCAGATGATAGAGGAGTAAGTCTGTTTTTTCATTTACTGAATATGCTAGTAATTTTATTTTTTCAGCTCAGGTTGCATGCAGAATGGCCTGAAGAAAGTTAATACATTGCTCTTGGGGGAAAAAACAGAAAGTGATAGGTAGCCTACTTTATGCTAGTACCCAGTTTATTATATGCTTATAGGGCAAAATCTTGAAGAGTTGTTTTTATGGAGATAATAAAATTTGGTTTGTTATTGTTTTTTTTCTTCAAATAATTTATTTCTTACTAATATTATGTTTCAGTTGCACATCAGATGAGTTAGAGTAAAACTTTCTATCAAAAAATGATCAAATATAGGAAGCAGAGTTGTAACAGATTACTATCTGTTGTTGTTTGCTCTAATTTTTCATTATTTATTAGACTGAAATAGTTAATCATGGTTTATTTTCTCATCTGGTGGATACTTCTAGTCTGATTCATTATGTCTGCTACAATTTAAGCGCTAAATCAAAATTTGTGATAAAATGCAAAATCAATAGTAAGATTTTTTTTCCAGCCCCATTACTACCCTCACTTTCTATTTCATCATTCCTCTAACTCTCAACCTTGTGTTCAGAGCTGCCCTTGACAAAAAGACTATAGAAAGGGAACATTGCATCATGTATTACAGTTTAACAAACATGGCCCCCACATAATCAAGGCTTTGGAGGGTCTCTTTAAGATGTAAGACCCTACTAAATGAAAATATTCACATTTTCTTGTTCTAATTAGAGCAGAAGAATGAAGTGCACAAACACCAATGTGCTTATTTATGTTTCCAGTGCAGTTGCAACAAGCTGCTTCGCTCTCGCTCTCATTATTCTTCACTTTTCAGATTGAAACCATATGCAAGTGTCCAGGATCAACTCTTGGTAAACGTGAATAAGAGTTTGTGGGAAGTGATGAGAACCTGCTCTGATGAAGAGGTAATATTGCATGAAGAAATAATATTGCCTCTTGCCTAATGAAGAAGTAAGGTTAATTTAGGCATTCAGATAAAATAAGAACCCGAATGGTCATCGAATAACAGCAGGTAGGCAGGAGATACAAGGCAAAGTATTTTGTGGATGAAAGACCTCTATGAGAGTTGGACTAAAGTATTACTGTCTAATACAGCAGAAGGCTTGAGGGCATGGACATGTGTCCTTTCTAACATGCTAGAGGGTATATGTTGCTATAAAACAGAAAAACTTGAAATTGACAATTTAAGTTAGTTGGAGACAGAAAAGAGGAGAGGAATTTCAGAGGGGCCTAAGCAAACAATGCAATATTGGAAGGAAAAAAATGAGCTACTATTACTGTAAGGGCTCTGTAGATTCATCATTGGAGCAGAATTGTCCATTACCTTAAATGCACGTTTAATTCAGAAAGGTATGCAAAATGGTAAGACATATAACGCACAGAAGATATGTGTGGTTACATAAAGCTGCTCTGCATGTAAAATTTGGGGTTCAGCCCTGATGCTGTGTACCAGAACAGAAGATGGTGAGGCCAGAGGGTATTTAAAGAAGAATGCTAATGATAATGGGCACCAAAAAGCACTCCAAAAACATTTGCATCTAAAAACAAGAAACATTATAAAATACCCCAAACAGTATTGAGAAGGTAAATAAAAGATTCTGTTCTCCTTGGTTTTAATGGCCAGAATAAAGGCCTATTCAATGAAAATAAAAAGTCTAAATTGATAAAAGATTATTTTTCATAGTTCTTAATTAGATTGCAGACCTCTGTGGTATAGGACATCACTGAGGATAGGATAGTAATTGGATTTAGGAAGAATGTAGTTATGAACAATAAAAGCACCTGGAACCTTTGGCTAAGGATAACGAATTTCAAAAGTTATGAAGCAAAACTCTACATATTCAAATTAGAATAGTACTACCTAGTAGAAATAGGCAGATCTAAAATAGTCTAGAAAAAAGTTCTCTGTACGTTCCTCTGCAGCCTCTGGATTGACCCTATCAGAGACAATTTTGAATGATGTAATCTGTAGCTATAATCTGTTAAGACAGGTGACCTTTTTTTAGTTTATTTCACTTGCTTTGGGCATTGCCTGGACTCCTGTAAGCATTTCAGTGAGCCTCCTTAACCCTAATGGGACAGTGTTCTAATTGTCTTGAATAACTGGGACAAGAGGCATCTGACATACTGAAGCTGCTCTGTCATGTGCCGAAAGCATCTTTACTTTAGTTGTTTGAGCTGTTAAAATCTGATGCTATTTCTCTGTGCTGCACCCTATTTGAATAAAGGGTATTCTGTTGGATCTTTGCTAAGAAAACCTATTGCTTTTGTAGTTGACTGTTTAGGGATTGTCTGAATTGAAATTTGATTTCATTTGCAACTGTCACGTAATATTGCTGCTAGAGAAATGGGACATGAGGGTAGGAGGAGTGGCAGCAGAGAAGGGAAGAAGAATCTAAAAGGTTGATTGGACAATCTTTGTTTCACATTCTTGTTTGCTTTATCGTCTGTATTTTCCATTCATTACAGCTGAAGAGCTTTGGAGCAGAATTGAACAAAATGAAATCCTATTTCACCAAGGAAAGTAAAATTCTGGCTCACAATGGGAAAGTGACACTGTATAGCAAATTGCTGCAGAGCTCACAGGTAATGTGCCAGGTGACAGCAGAGGGTTAGGTTTGTAAGAGGAATTTCTACCATATTTCATCCATGTTTAAAATAGTATAAGCCACAACCATCAAGTGTAGAAGCATAATTATTGTATGCAAGTGTGCATTCTCTTGATAGTTTCCTTCTTATTAAACATATTTCCCTTTTATTGATATGCAAATGTAAAACACATTAGGACAGTGACTCCTTTCTTGCACTTATGCTATAGGAACCTTCTGCCTAAGGGTTTTGTCCAGGGAAGTTACAAAGTAGGGAAAAACAGGAGTGTTACGGGAAATGCTATAAGAAACAAGCTCTTTAGACTGTAGTAATGTGTCAGTATTAATACCTAACAAGTAAATGCAAAATAATGTATTGTGATAGATACCAGAAACTTGCACATGCTAAAAGTTTGAGAAATTTATTTAGCTACATGTCTCATCTAATCCCTTTACAAGAAAAGTGATTAGAAAGATTGTTAAATATCCTGTGCTTTCTCATGTACTTTCTTATGTTACTGCCTTAATGTCTCTCAGTCTACCTCTTCATTCTAATGACAGATTGCATCAGCTCCTTTAATTAATCTCTTAGCAAGCAAAGATCCATGTGGTGGTCCCAGAAGACATGCAGATTTTTTAAAAATGCCATTGACTTGTGTAAAAGCACATTGCAAAATAGTCCCATTTTTGCATCTTAGGAACAATGGGAGAAACTACAGTCAAGAATAGCAAAAGTGGATGAAATTCTCAAGGAGGCAGATAGCTGTCTTGCTGCTCTGGAAGCAGGTAAGTGTTTCCCAACCAGTGACTGATCTGCTGCTTTCTGTTTCAGTCCCTCTGTTTTTCTGTAGAGCTGCTATTTAAATGATGACTTCAAGATCTTGTGTTTGGTACTTGCTTGGAATTTAAAAATTCCTGTGTTACAAGTAACTTGTTAGGTTTAATCAGCTTCATTCATGACTGCAAACTCGTCTTACAGGAATTTCTTACACACCATGCAAAGACTAGGAGCGTATCTGCACTGAAATACAGAATTGTAATTGTAGCCTGTGAACATGTAACCTGGTTGGCTAAATCCACTAGTACAGCTACTGGCAGCGCATAGTTCAAAATGGCTGCAAAACCTGCCAGTGACCCTGGCAGATAGTCAAAGCTCAGCTTTGTGCTCCAGGAATGTACTGTTTTCAGTATCAAAGCTGGGTGGTTAAAACTTGTTCAGCAATGGTCACACAGGCTTACCGTCAGTACTTGGGACTGCAGCATAGCAATGTTCTGTGTATTTTTTTTGTTTGTTTGTTTCTAATGAATATTCTTTCAGTGCTTTACAGTGCAATTTGATTTCCATTTATCAGCTTTGAAATTGTATCATAAGATGAGTTTTAATCATTATCTAGTACTTTCTGAGGATTTGATAGATACCCTTCCTGGCTTCTTGTACGTTTTCTCTTAGCTAGTTTTCAAATTCTGAGAATTATAGAACCCAGAGACAAATAAAATGGAATCTTCGGACATTTCTCTCCCGTAGATTCTGACTGGGAGGAATGTGAAGCAGACTGCAATGATGAAATGGCAGAACAGGAGTCCAAAGGGAGAAATTTAGAGGAAGGTAATGGTACCAACTGAACTGCTTTTCTTCAGAAATTTTAGATATGGTGATGCTCTGCACTGCTTCCCTCCCTCTCTCCCCTCCATCTTTAAGTGTGATATGAATGCAAAAACTTTTTTTTTTTTTTAACCCCATTGGGTACAACTAAGTACATAGATATGAAAGTATGAAAAGGGTAGAACAATTGAATTTAGAACTTGGAACAGTGTGACTTGAAGAGTATGTATTGGCTATTATACCCAGCACTTAGATCATTCAATAAATTACTAACCTTTGTTGACCATATATCTATATCCAAGTAGGATTAACAGCCGTCAGGTTGGGTTCTTTCATATTGCTAAGAACAAGAACAGCACAGCAAGTTAGGCTTTTCTCTGCTGCTCTGTCATAGGTTTTTTTGTTTGTTTGTTTTCCTTTCTCTAGAATTGGAAACCCTCAGAGCCGAAGAAGAGGAGCTTCAAAGGTAAGACTTAAAAAGGATCTAAGAAGCTTAAAAAAAAACACTGCACATTCAGTTTTAGAGATTTCTTTTCCTTTTTTTTAATCAATGTGCTTTGCTTTCTCAGGAGCACCTAATGTAATTGTTGTTATCTTGGCAGAGATCTGTTGGAGCTGGAGACTCAGAACAAGCAAGTGCTTGCTGAGATAAACCGTCTACAGAAGAAAGAAAAAAGCTGCCAGGAACTCCTGGAGGCATACAAGTAAGGAAAGGGCCTTCAGGTTTTATTTTTTTATTGTTCTGAGTCCTCACATTTGTATGTTAATGTTTGTTTGTTTTGTTTTTCCTTTTTATTTAATTTGGCACATCTTTGGATTCCCATCAACAGGAAACCTAGGATGAGCAGTAAAGGTTCAGTGAACTTCAGTATGACACACAGTTTTTTAATTCTTTTAATTAAGGATTTTGCAGTGACACATCATGTACAGTCTTTTTATATCCAGTTGGATATTTCTATCCTCATATTCCAAAATGAACATTTTAAGAAAATTTTTCAAGTCTTTCAACAGTTTTATGCTTATATTTCCCATAGATTTTTATGTTCTTTTGGGAAGTGAGAAGATAGTTGGTATATTATGTAGTAGCTGCAAGTGCACTTAATACTTTGACCTTCATCTTTTAGTTGAGTTTGTTTGTTTGGTTGAAACTTAGCTTTTTTTTTTTTTTTCTTTTCAGCTTCACTGAGTGGGAGATTAGTGAATGGAGTGAACAGCAAGCAGTCTTTAATTTTCTTTATGATTCTATTGAATTTACAGTAGTCTTTGGATCACCAATAGGTACGGTGCAAAGTTGACAGTTTTTTTTATGAATTTGAAAGGTTAAATAGTTATATAATAGAAAGGCTTAGTCTGTGAAGACATTAAGGGGAAATAGAACAAAATATAGTGGAAGCATGTAAACTGAGCGACGTGATTAATTGTAGCTTAGGATATGGATATCAGTGCTTTCTATAAAAATTTGAAATGTATGTATTAAACGGTTGTTACTGAAGAGGAAGAGCTGTGAATGTTTAAAATTTCAAACTGAATAATTGAAAGGATTCTATAGCTAAATATGGAAATAACTACTTGCTAAATGCTTTTTTTTTTTTTCTTCTCAGATGGTGATGTTTTCGGTGAAAATCCCTGCAGAAAGATTGTTAGCATGAGCTTTGAATCTCTCTTGGATGGTAAGATTTTTTTCAAGTAATTTGAAAATAGCTGCCCTGATTATCTCTTCTTGGGAAGATACCTGTTAATTTGTGTTTTATCTGCCAATGCATTACTACTTGGCTTTGAAAAGATTGCTAGCAACATGTTTGTCTTTTATGTTACAGAAGAAAAGGCTCCACTTTCCTCACGTTTAGTCCAAAGACTCATCTTCCAGTTTATTGAAAGTCAGGGATGCTGGCAGGAAAGGTGCCCCACACTGCACTACTTGCCCCAGGTAATGTTCTAGGAAAGCGTATAGCGCTTTGGAACAGTGGGAATTTCTTCTGTCACAGAGAATAAGGCTGATGTTGAGAACAAAATCATCTTGATGAACACTTCATCAATGCGAACCAAAATCAGCTTCATGAATGAATAAATATTCTGAGGTGAGAGGGGAAGAACCTGTCCCAGAAGACAGGAGTCCTAAAAGCTGTAATTTAAGTGTGCTTTTGCCATTCATTCAGAACATTTGATTGTACTTGAACATTGATTCTAAACTATGGTTTCTTCGGTGTTTGCTGTATTGATGTCTGCCTGCCTTAGTGATTTTTAAAATCCATTTTTGTGACTGGTGCAAGTGGAGCTAAAGAACTGATCTGAATGCCATTCTCCGGCGTACGTGTGGACCCCTCCTGACAACACTAGAGGGAGAAACTTAGGACGACGAATGTTTATTTGTTGTTATGCTCGTACAATTTCATTTCCACATCCAAACTGAGATAGCAGGTAAACTACACTTTTTGTATACTTTCTAGCGTAAACTGCATTTTAAGATGTCGTATGGTTTACCAGCCTGATTTCCAGTGTAATTGCTTTTCTGATTGCCCACTTAGGTGCTTCATGACATCTCTTTGGTTGTGAGTCGTTGTAAGGTCTTAGGAGAAGAGATTGAATTTCTGAAGAGATGGGGTGGCAAATTTAATCTTCTAAAGACAGATATCAACGACACAAAGTGAGTAACTTGATATGTAATTTGCACTGGTCCTTCAAAAAGTATCTGTAGGTAATCACACACAAAACTGAACTATTTTCAAATTGGTTTTCCTGAAACTGAGATTTTGGGTAACTATTTTTAAAAGAATGTATTTTCTTAAACAAAATTGGACAATAATATTGAAATGCTTGGAAATTGAGCTGTTCTTGGATTCAGCCAGTTTCCTTAGTATTATATAATATCTCCTTACTTGGTGCTTTCCTGTTTCACTTAAATCTCTCACCTAAAGCATTAAGGCCAGAGTGTAGCAATTCAGAGGAACCAGAACCAAGAGTTTACCTGTAGCTTTGTTGCTTTTATAATGGGCTTAATTTTCAGTTTTCTTCAGCCAAGCAGAAAGAGTCCTTGAAGGCTTAACGTGCTTAAACTAGTTAATTTTCTAGTTTTCATTTTCTCATACTACTTCCTCGTTTTGTGGCATTCCCCAGTGGAACAAGATAAATATTTCACCTCAGAATCCCTATTCTATTAGTGATGTATATCCTTACCTAAGGAGTGGCCAGTTAACCCTTTCTCTGCAAGCCTTGATGCCGTGTCTGTCCACATAGGTTTTGTTCTAAATTTGTAGTACCTTTTGCAAGAGTGTTCTTTTACTGCTTCCCCAAAGTCCCGTGAAAGCTACGTTTAGTTAAGCCAGGAAAACAGATGCCAATGCAGCTTGTGCTCAGGCAGTTGCAAATTGTGGGATGTTTACCTAGAAAAGACCTGCTGTATGCTTGCCCTGTTTTTCATGATCCCAATGCATCTACTTCCTAAGCATTGTGTACTCAGTGACAGTTCATCCCTTATTTGCAGTAAGACTCAACTCTGTCTTTCCTAGACCTTGTCATAGGCAGAGTACTGGGCTAGATAGAAATTTGGCCTGACTTAAATAGTGCTGGATTTATGAAACAGAATTATGGAATTGAAACTGAATCAATGTTGTTTCAGATACTTTTTGTGTTAGCTACAAATCATTGTTGGTTACTAGTCTATATTCTCTTTTCGTAATTTTTGAAAGGTTCTCCTGTGAATTATGTATGAAACCTCATCTGTGAGGAAAGTTGGGGTTTTGTATTCCAGTTCAGAGTGGAAAGATACTTTTAACCTTATCTATGAAGTTAGGGTTAGGCTATGTTGGAACTCTTTAGAAACAAGTGAGGTTGTTGCATCTGTTATGTCATTTGTTTTCACATCTGGAACCTAATTCAAAAGAGGTAATAGTGCATTTGAACATTTTGTATTGATTTTATTTGTTTTTATTTCTCGTACAGAGTGAAGCTTTTGTTCTCCACTTCCACAGCTTTTGCAAAGTTTGAATTGACCCTATCTCTGTCTGCCAACTACCCATCTGCTTCACTGCCTTTTACTGTCCAAAGCCAAATTGGGAACATTGGGTGAGTTCAACGAAAAGAACCACTCCACATAACTTAAGTTAAAGGGCAGTGAATTAAATGTTTTATATCCTCTCAAACTCATGTGATAATTTTATCTTTGCCAGAGAGGAGGAAATTTCTGCTGTTCTGTCCAAGGTACCACTTGGTTACCACTATTTGCGGAGGATCGTCAGCTTGATTCATCATCATCTGCTCCAAGATCCCAGATGATTCACGTACAGGACTGAAGGTGTCAAGCTGGACATTCCTTGACTCTACTTTTACAAGAATTTACAGCTGTCTTACTGAAATAGGAATGCTATTAGCTTCTCAGCTCTTAATTAATCTTGTCTAATAACTGTTTGATATCAAGGATGCTCAGTATAAGCCCCAAGCTTCCCTTTTAGACGAAAGGATAAATGCAGTAAGCCCCAAGCTTCCCTTTCAGACAAAAGGATAAACGCAGATGTCCCTATAAAGTGTAGGAGGAAGAATTTCTTTTGTCTTTTATTAATCCAATCTGCTGATCTTTGCTTCCTTCTTTAGTCTTTCCTAGTATGGAGAGTCTTCTGAAGTAGCGTGTCAGTTTTGTTCTGCATTGATTTGCAAAGCTCTTGTTTTAAACAATGATCAGTATTTTCCAAATTTGTGTGTCTGGAATTTACTTCTTTCACTCTCATTACTCCACTACTACTCAACGTTATAACATACCACATCGTATTCGATTTTGGGTTTTTTGTTGTTGGTTTTTTTATTGTTTAATCAGTTTCTTGGAACATCTCGTCCAAAAAATCAGAAACTGTACTTTGACTTCTGATTAACCAAATAATGTAGAATTATTAACCAGTTCGCCAGTCATAGTTGGAAAGACTTGTCATGAAGGCTACAGAACCAGGTGCCTGACCGGAGACTTTTGCAGTGCAACAGGCTCAAAGCCACTGAGTTGAAAACGTGTGAGCCCTTTCAGTTAGAACTGTATTCTGATCTTCTATGCATAGTTCTTTGTCCAGTATAAATCTGTCTCTTGTTTCTAGTGCATTGCCTGAGTTTGTAATGAATTAGAACTGTAGTGCGGAAAATGAGCTATTAAAAGTTAGGAGATATCTGTAAGATCCTTGGTGCAGTCTAGGCTGCTTTTGTATAGTCTATAAGGTTGAGCTGCTGGTACTGAGCTAAGCCTAACTGAGTTTATGGTGTTGAAGTGCCTAGCAATTCTTAACTCTCCATTCCGTAGGCAGCTGACAGTTTTTGTATTTCTGTAAAATATGTTGATTTTAAAATGTTTTCATGTGTGTGTTTATATATTTTTGTCTTTTTTCAATTTTTTCCTTCTATTTGGAAGGTGGAAGTTCATTAAAACTTTGAATTATTGCTATTTCTTTTTTTTCAATTGTGATCATTAATTGCGCTATTAAAACCAAACTTTTGACTGAAAATTTGCCTGCTACTATTGAAATACCTTTGGTAGTTATTTGAAAGGACTTTTTATAATGTGAACTTGCATTTTTTTTCTCCCATTTCCTAGTGTTAGTCTTCTATGATCTGACTTTCACAGATTTTTTTTTTTTTGAAAATAGTGCCAAAGTCACAAATGACTTGAATATGATACTTAAAATAATTTCCGAATTTCTTAAGGTTACTCTGTAAGTATTATTAACCAGTAGAGGGTGCTCCAGTAGTACTTCATAAGCATTATCCTGTTTTTTTGTTTTTAAGTTTTCTTTCAGCCTGTTTCCAAGAGTACCAGATTAAACAAAACGAACAAAAAAAACAGGCATCTGCAGTAGAAAATGACTGTGGCAGCACTTAAGCAATTCCAATTTTATGTTTAATTTATACTGTACAGACTTATTTAACCTCCTCTAAGGGCTTCAGGATTTAAAGCCTACAGGCTAATCTATAGGCTAACTTCCCATACCTTTGTAGTGCCTCAGACTTGATGCATTACTGTTAACATCTCCATAGAGATAATATATTTACAACAATTATATTTTTGCAAGTCAAATTTTGATGAGAATTCAATTTTTAAACCTTTTCACACAGAGTGCTGCTTATAGCCATTGCTCAATGAGAAATCTGGAGATCTTATACAACTCTCATTTCTTTCAGCCATTCACTGTGATTAAAGGTGTAAAGCTGGGATTGCATCCCAAGTATGGCTATACCTCTTTAAGGACGGGGGGGAAGGACAGGGGAGGAAATGAATGACTTTCAAAAAATTAATTTACTTTCTGGGGAAAAAAAATTTACAAATGACAGTTCTTATTTATTTCATATTTGGTAATATAATATTAGCTGTGAAAGAATGAGCACTATCATATTTTCCCACTAACATGGTTGGAATGTTGTTTTGAATATGGCTTTCTTCAATGATTAATTTATGGTCATCATTGATAACAGTACGCATTGTTTTAATGAATTTAATTTAGAGCACCTGTTGTTGGAAATTTCAAGATCGTCCGTGAGCAGGAGTTGCCCAGGAGTAAGTGTGAATGCCAAGAGAATGTCAATTATATCCATGTTTTAGTGTGTTACGGGAAAACAATTTTTTATGATCTTCAGTATTGTTGACTTTGGACTGATACCTTTCTGTATATGTAAATGTAAAAGCCTTTATTCTCTTGTGGTCTCTGTTTTGTCTTATTAAGTACATAGGGAAGTGCATATTAAATTGCTTGATTAGCAAAAGGTGAAATAATGACAATGCAGTTACTATGCACTATTAGTAATATTCTACTTTTCGTGTTCCCAACCTTGGTTTTCATGGGAAACATCCCAAAATCTGGACAAAGGACTGAAACACTAGTGAGCGAACATATTTGTTTAAGCAGCATACAGCAATGCTTTAATGACTGTCCAGAAGTAAAATGAGTGATTGATCAGTTTTGCAATTTAGAATAAGATGAAAAGATAATCTAGCGCTTAAAAAAAGTGTTTAGTTAGCTCAAACTGAAGACAAATTCAGATATTGAATCAACCTTTTTGCAGTACCTCTGTCTCTCCATGTCCAGGGCAGCTACCATTTGCAACCCAGATTCTTTAAAGGACATCATTGTTTCATATTATTAAAACAGCGTGAACTCTGCAATATATGTTGTAACCTCTCTCCTTGCAGTTCTACTGCCACTTCACTTGCAGCAATGGAAGCTGTTAACACTGAAGCTGGACATCCCACTGCTGTTAAGAACTATGGGAAAAAGACTTGAGTGGGAAAAGGATCTCTAAGTAGGGTATTTATATCAGACATGCCACTCTGAAGGTATGGCAAGTAAATTCAAGTCATCTATTAGTTGTGGAAGATTTAATTGCCTTTAACATTTTAGACTTTTGTACTTATGGCACAAGCTCAGTTACTTTAATACTCTACCTTTTATTCATGAAATTTTAAAATACCTACTCAATGACCATTTCAGTCAGTGGAAGGACAGTAAAATATTTCCTTGGCTGTGAGATGCTAAAGTGCTCCATGTATTTCAGTTTATACTGTGCACTTTGATATCTAACTGTAGTTATATTTCTGCAGAGATCTATAAAAGTTTCTTTTGATATTTTTCATCAGGAATTGGCTCTGTTGTTCTGTTAAGTCACTTGAAGCTCTCTTCAGGTCTGTCTGGGATTCTAGAATAAAAAAGCCATTTTCTGCCATCAGTTGTAAACTCCTCTTAGCCTTTTTTGGCCTACTGGTTGCTCATAATACAACTGGTGGCAGGATTTCAATTACAAATGCCAATTGCCTGCTGGTTTCTCGGCTTTTTGCTAACCCAGAAGCAAAGTTCAGGACGAGCATCCCATAGACAACGTTCCAGTGACGTGTTGACATCTTGATCTGGCGTTTCTTCTGCTTCTGAGAAGAAAATTAGGATTGTTTCCTGAAGGATTGTGTTGTGAGGATAGCTACTTCCCTCTCTGGAGGAAAAAACAAATTTTTTTTTTCCTTCATTCGCTGCTGTATGGCCCTTAAACCCCTAGCTGTGACTTTGTGATGATAAAATGTACTGTGCAACTAGTGCTTGTATTCACAACTCTCTAGTCTCAGTGTGTATGTATTGTGAGTGTGTGTTTACATGGGTGTTCATACTACAGATACGTGTATGCCCTATCACTTCAGGCCAAGTAACCTCTTTTTTTTTTTTTTAATTTTGTAGTGTCTGTAATGGCTAAGACGTTTTTTTGCCTTCTGCCATGCTCAGCAGGCAAAGGGATAAGCCAGAGTACGCCTGACAGCTTTGACAGTGATCCTCAGCACCCTGCTGGGATGGGCTCCTCTATGGCTGCAAGCTTCTCTTTCAGGCCTGTCGATGATATAGCTTGGCAGTAGATTCTCTAAAAATTTACTTTTCATCGTTGTACAAATTGCAAAGGCAAAACTGTGCACAATAGTAAGTGATTTCTTCAGCGGCCGAACAGAAGCTCGGGGCCAGCGTAGGCTGTTTTTCAGGACTTGCTTCACGTGTCAGAACCTGCTGCGTGTCCTGGACCCGTTACCCGCGTTTCAGGTGTTTCCCCGATAGCAGAGAGGCACGCGAAAAGCCGCTCACCCTCCTCTCAACAATTCTTTAAATTCTTTTTTTTTCCTTCTAGCCTTGGCCCCCCCCCGGGGGC